CTTTGGACTCGAGGTATCATATATATTATATATATTATATAATAAATTATATCTATTATTAATAATTATATACATTCCTAAGATTTTAAAGCCATAAATCTATTTGCTTGACAAAATTAAAATAAAAACAAACTTTTTTTATTTATTTTCTAATTTCGAATATATCGTTCATTCAACCAACCAATTTATAAGCAAGAATTTTGTATAAATACTGATGAAAATACTTGTGATAATTGCTACTTCATAATTTAAATTAGATATACTAAAATTATGACAAATACACCAACTTTTTCTATAGAATGAAATGTAAAGATTAATTCAAAATAAATGAAAAGGAGGAGAAAGATAGTTAGGAATACGTTTGATTATGCTCTTCAAATTTAGTTTTCCTAGAAAAAGTTATATAAGCATTTGGCAGAAAAACTCTGCAGTGCATCTAAGAATAAGCTGAAACCTCAGTTTGTTGATTAATTCTAAAACAAAAATTTGAAATCGTTTACTAATACTCATTCACGGTTTACTCATCGAAATTTGTCTTATAGTCTTATAGTAACTAAAATTTTAGTCTTATTATTTAAATTCTTCTTAATAATTAGACGTTTTCTAAAAAATTTTTCTGTTATTTGATCCTAAACTTTTTTTGGCCTATTTTATATAAAATTTTTCCGAAGTCTCTTAAAATCTTATTATTATGGTTCAATAAAATACATCAGTATAAATCTTATATCTCTCTATTTATTAATGTATAATGCTAAGAGATGTTTTTATAAATAAAAGTAATATATAATTTAATTTATACTTGAAAAAAAATAAGCTTAAATATGATTATCACATATCAATAATTCAGGTTTCAATATTATATCTTATTACTTTTTGATCCATTTAAACTTTATTACACTATTGTTTATCACTACGATTAATCAAACTCTTTTGATGGAAGACAAGAGTTAGAGTCTCATTTAAGGAAAATAACTCTCTATTTGGTTTTTTTTAATATATATTATAATGATAGCATTTTCTGAAAAGAAGATTTTTTATCAAAAAGTATAAGTTAAAAATATGGAACTAATAATGTGTTAAAATTAGAAAGCCTAGTCATCAATTAAATTTCTAGTTAACAATCAATTTATCTTAATTGATGTGCAAACTAAATAAAGTTTATTATTTAAATTGATTCTTCATATCAATCGTTTTAGCATAAATTAAGAATTGCGTTTTATAAATCTTGCAAGGTATTAAGATCCATGATTCAAATATTAGCTATATATTTTTGGGAATATATTATTAATATAAAAAAATGGCACTAATTGCAAATGATACTAAAAGCTTCACCCATTTTGCAGATATAAATACAAGTGAATATTCCCACAAATTCCTTGATAATAGTAATTAGAAAAAATATACACCTAGATATTCTGTATTAAGGTTAATTGTTGGATGATCAAGCTTTTCACGGTTATGGCAAGGCAATCTTTCCTAATGGTATCCTTTTCATATTTGATCATAGGGGATATATATGAAGGAAACTGGAACAATAACTAATTGGATGGTTATGGAAAGTACACAACAATAGATGAAGAAATTTATGAAGGTTATTGGGAAAAAAATTAGCTGTTGATATCAGAAATGGTGATTGATTTACCGAAATTTGAGACATAGTTGTTGAAAAAAATGATTGAACAAGAGATTTATAGTAAATATAAGGAAACAGATATTATAATTTTCGATGATGGTATAATTTAAACACTATGTAGGTTCATCATATAGAGGATAATTAACAGATAACATATAGGATGGTTGGGGAGCTTAAATTTATTTGAGTGGTATGAATATTCTAAGAAAAAAATAGGTTAAATGTATTAAGGTCAATGGAAGAACGGAAAGTATGATGGGTATGGAATCAAATATTTTTTAAATGGGGATGTATACATTGGACATTGGAAGAACGACGAAGCAACTGGTTATGGGGAATACAAATATTTCGAGGGAGCATTTTATCGGGGATATTGGCTACACAGCTTTAAACATTATTTTGGGATAGAGTAATGGAATGAGACAGCTAAATACATTGGAGAATTCTAGAAAGGATTTAAACATGGTAAAGGAATATTGACATTTAATGATAATTCAACTTATGATGGAGAATTTATTAATGACGAAATCCAAGGTTATGGGGAATATCGTTGGGTTGATGGTCGAAACTATGTAGGAGGATGGTATAAAAATAAAATGTAAGGCAACGGGAAAACTACTTGGCCTGATGGAAGAATTTATGAAGGGTCATATGATTAAGACTTGAAATAAGGGTTTGGATTGTTTTGTTGGCAAGATGGTAAGAAATATATAGGAAATTGGATGTAAGGGAAATAACATGGAATAGGGATTATGTATGCATAAAATGGAGACTATAAATTCGGAGAATGGTTTGAAGGAAAGAGGAAGAGATGGCTGGATTAAGTTTAGGATTCCGACATAATTGAGGCATTTAAAGCTGATCATCAATTGTAAATTCTCCCTTCTATTATAGTGAAATTATTAAGTAGATTGCCACTGATAAAACAGATGAATCTCCATTGAAAGCATCTGAAAGTATTTGGTCTATGCCAAGAATCAGTGACAAACAACTTATTAGTAGATTTAGTCTAACTTTGGCTTAGAAAGATGGCTAATTTTATATTGGTGAAACAATTAGAGAGGAAAGATCTGGTAAAGGAAAACTGTTTTCATAAGATGGTTCATTATATGATGGCTATTGGTCAAATGATAAGAGACATGGATATGGCAAGTAAGTCTATTCAAATGGTGACACTTATGAAGGCCATTGGATATGTGACAAGTAAAGTGGAATTGGTAAAATGATTTATTCGGATGGTAGTATATTGGAGGGATTTTGGAATGGTTAAATCTTGGATGGATATGGAAAGTAAACATGGCCAGATGGTTAATATTATGAGGGTTATTTTTAAAATTGTTTAAGACATGGAGAAGGAAAGTTGTTATTCAAAGATGGTTCATATTATGAAGGGTAGTTTGAATCAAATGAAATTATTGGTAAAGGAACTTTTACTTGGAGTGATGGTTCATAATATAAAGGGTTTATGAAAAATGGTTTAAAACATGGTTAAGGCACATATATTAATTGCGATGGAGATCATCATATTGGATAGTAAAAATAGATAATAATAAATTTTTAGATTCTACAAAGACACTTGTCATGGAGATGGAAGTTATGAGTATAATGATGGTAGAATCTACATTGGATCTTGGTTCCATGGAGCAAAGCATGGAAAAGGAACTCTTAAACTTCCAAATGGATAAAAGTAGGAATTGGTATATATTTTTGGTGAATTAAAAAATTGATTTAGCTCTTTCTTTTACTTTAATTTTATAAAGCATAATATTTTACTATAAATCTCCAGATATGTGTTTTCTTGTTGCTTATTGAATCAAAATTTTATATCAAAAAATAAAGTGAAATTAAATTTTAATCTCAAAGAATATAATAATCTAATTTTATTATTGTTTTAATCTATTGCCTTTTCTAAATATCAATTATTTGATCCAACTTATTATATTAAATCTTGATAATAAATTACCATTAATCAAAATTATTGATAAGTATTAGAAAGGTAATTAAAATTGCCTTAAAATACAATATTTTAAAAGGTTCACAGTTTATATGAATGACTGAAATTGACTATATATAGTGACTAAGTTATTGAGATTTGATTATTATTTTATGTTATTTTCATTTCAATTAGGTTTGTTTCTAGTAACAATAACTATTACAAATAACAATACTATTTATCGATAAACATATTTTATGAAGTTAGAAAAATTGATTTAGAAATAAAATTTATAAAGATAGATAAATTATAAAATCATGACAGAGTCAAGACCTTATTTTATTCCTTCTTGTATGGCATATTAACTACTTAGCTGCTTCATCCAAGTCGAATACTAAACGATAGAATGCTACTCAATAGTAATCTAATTATGAAGCATTGCTTTCTCAATTTAGCCAAAGTAAAAGTAATTCCAATAAGTTAACAAAAACTCCATCTTCAATAATTTAGCATGACAAATTTTATGTTCAATAACTGTAATAATAAATAACAGATTTAAAAGAGTAGGTTAATTTTTTAATCTAAGAAAACCAGAGATTATAGTAACGATAAGACAGACAATTACAAGTAATGAAGTTCTTTTTTTATTTTAGAGGATAAAAGAACAATATTAGTAATTAACAAAATTTAGCAATGTTATACAATTAGTGCAACAATTAAAAATAGAAAATCTAGCTCTCCGATAAAATGTTTAATCTCTAAAGCTTGATTTTACTATTCAAATGAATCCATTAAAATAATTATATCATCATATTATCCAAATACCAAAGTAATAAATCAACGACATTATGTAAATAAGATTACAATAGCAAGAAAGTATAAATATCATAAATCATAGCCTAAATATCTCAACAATAAAATAAAGTTGAGATTCTCAATTTAGAACGAACACAACTATTGGAATTATGTTCGAAATAAGAAGAATAATTGATTTCAATATTATAAAAGTAGATTTCCAGCTGAAATATTCACTTTGATGGTGAATATTATTTGTATCCTTTTTATGATATCATTAAATGTATTAATAAATAAAGATATTTCTTATTAGTTTCAGAACAATATTATATTAATAATATCCCTTGTTAGGATAATATTATTTCTGAAATTAAAAATGAAAGAACTCAAAATTTACATGTGCTTAATCTAGATACAGAATATCTTGAGTACTTTAATTAGTTATAAAGGTTAAAGAATTTAAATAGGTCATAAAACTACCAAGAGATAATTTCCTAAATATAGACTAATGTATTATTAGGATTGTTAAATCTTTATAATTTTAGATTTTATCATTGCATGAAATATGTAATCAATAATTAAAACAAGAAGTGTAATTTGTTCTAGATTTTGAGTATATTTGTAACTTCTTGAAAGTTATAAAAATCCGATCGAATTAAATAAATTAATATATGACATTCTAAACAAAATCATATTTTAAAATATTCAATATAAAAATTTTGACTTTCTAATTATTTTAATAATTTTAAAAACTGATCTTAATTAAGAGTGAGAATCATAATGGATTAGATATTGATCTTTATTTTATAAATCAAAATGATTGATCTCCCTCAGATTATTATTAGTATTCTTCATCTTCTTAATCATCCTATTCTTCTACAATCTCACCTTATTGAGAATTTATTGGTTAATCATATTCATTCGCAATATTAATTATTTATTATTACTCTACATGGTCTTATATCCATATTTTAACAGTTTTATCATCGCTTGCTGTCAATAATTAAGCTGTCTAGCTATGCCAATCAACGAAATTAATTGGTTAATTGTGTCCATCAATGACATTTTATTGTAATTGATTGTTTTTATTAAAAAAGTATACTTTACCATCTTGACTACCAACACAAACATAATTGTCCTTCTTACTGCCAAAACAACATTTCATCTCTATGCCTTTAACTTGAAATCCAAAAAAAACATGCAACTTTTAAAATGTCTTAAGACTCCAGAGATGCAATTTTGGTTTTTCTTTAGAAACATTTAAAACTAAGAATTATTAATTTTAGCTGACAGCAGATGAAACAATCAATTCTTATTCTTCCATATGAGTTATTATTTTATTGAATTTGGAATCATTTTCAATGACAGTAATTGAAAATATAGCAGCATTGTGAAGTAACAAGTATTAATCAGTCAACAGAATATTTTTAACCACTTTACTTTTTATCTAATTCACTAATTTTCCATTATCTTACCATATTCCTATCCATCCATCTACACCTCCACTAAATAATTGACTGATTATAAGATATTAATATACTTCTTAAAGTAAGCCAAGCACAAGACTTCGTTGGTATGCTAACTCATTGTTACTTTTATTTAGGCAGTTTATACATCATAACAATTAATTTTTTTATCATTTGATGCTGAAAACAACCTAATCATTTAAAATTATTCAGTTTTACAATTTATCATCTGATGAAAAGACTAGCGAATTTATATCCATCTAATGAGCTTTGCTTATTTTTTATTGCTATTCCTTTGAAATAATATAAATTGAATTCTTCTTTGTTGCACAACCAATCCATGTACCTGAATTAGAGAATTTGGCAATCCACACTTCATCATCGAAACCCTGAAAAAGAATTGAATTATTTTTAGGTATTTAATAGGACTAACAATTGTGATCAATTAATAAAGAATAATTCTTATTCTCATTAGAATCATTGTGATATGGGCATCGCTTAATTTGATATTCTAAAGACTGATCAATCACTTTATCAAATTGTGTTTTTAATGAAAAGTCTCCAAAATTTAAAAGATTGAGGGTTTTTTAATAAAGTTACAATCTTTACTCCCTTTAATCCATAGGTATTCCCAATTAAACATATAATTGGGAAGCATCTTCTGGGAGAAATATCATTCTATTTTTATATAATAGTATTTACTTAGCCAAAACCTAAGATTCTTGTTCATTAAATTCGGACAATTACCTTAGTAAATTGACCGCTTACTCATAATTTCTTTATTGAACTATTTCTAAGTACAATTATTTTTATATCTCGTATTATAATTTCTAATTTAAATAATAGAGTACCCTATTGATCATGTCTGAAAAGTCTAATTGTTGCAAAATATTTTCATAGTCACCATTTAAAAAGGATTCTTTTAACTCACTCATTTATGTTGTGTCTAATTTAGTTTGAGATTCATCCTCAAGAATTTTACAAGCATCATCATATCCCATCTAACTCAATTCTTAAAGAATCATTCTAACTATCTCCTTCAATCTTTCAGGAGAGTCATCAATACTTATAGATTGTACTTCTTATAGAGCGAGATTGTCATAAACTTGCATTTATTAAATTATTATAATTCAATTATAATTAATTTGATGAAATGAGATAAATATACATATGTTTTCATAATCCAAATTGTATTAAGTATATTTATAGTTGTATTTAAGGAATAATATTATTATTAGAGAATTCATATCTTTATAGTGGTTTGATTATGGTTGAAACATTTTATTACTATCTTAAAAGCCTTAAACGAAGTAATTCTTGGAAAGTAATTTAATAAAATTGGGTGTTGTAACTGTAAATACAGATAGTTATAAATCTTCATAAGAATATTAAATAATTAGTAAAAAAAACAAGATAAATTTTCTTTTGAAAATGTTCTTATTACAAGCATGAACATTATGAATGTCTTCCTATAGATCTATTTTAAATCAATATATTATTTTTTTGTTTTTTGGAATCTAATCTTGATTCTGAAAATTATAGACATCTTGATTTTATGATTAAATATATTAATAAGGTAATTTAATAAAACAAGTAAGTTAAACAAAATTAAAAATTCTACAGATTTTGAAGTTTTTACTTAAATATTTAGTTTATATGATTTAATAGCTAATATTTATATTGGATACCAAAATCAAAGAAACAACATTATTCTATGCTAGAACTCCAAATAATTAATTTTTTCATTTTTAATTAATTTTTATCTCATTATCAATAATCAATAATAACGATACTACCTTCAAGACATCCAGAAATCACTATCTGGAAAGGATAAGATTGCTGAACATTATCTATTTTAGCAATAATTCGAAACTAAATAATTCAGGATCTGAAAAGTCAATAAATATTTAATTTAATGTATTTTATTTTTATTTTCTTTAAATGGATAAGATAATAAGCTGCTTAAAATTTAATTAACATTATATTTATAAATACAAAATATGAAAGCAGCAATAGAAAAAGTTAAAGGGAATTTATAATGTCATAAATTGACAATTAGGGAGATTGTTCAGGAGGTTCTTAAAAAGTCTGATATAGATTTTGAGGATGATGAAGATCTTAAAGTAAGTTATAAAAGGATATTCATTTATAGAAGATTGTAGCATTGCTTTAGAAAGATCCGAATCAAAGAACATAACTGGATGTGGATAAAATTAGATTGTCATTCTTTAGATTCAAGTTTTTCTAAGAATTAGAATAATCGATGGGGGCTGATATGGTTTAAGGGCTATACAAATAATTGGGTTATGAATTGCAGAAAAAAAGACAGGTTATTTTTAACATCGGTGATATCGGAAAAAAGTTTTATATTATTCTGAAGGGCAGCGTTTGGGTTTTGGTATAGAAAAAGGGATTGTAAGAAGGTTCCGGTCCTACAGAAGAGGATTAAAAATAAGAGGAACAACTAAAAAATGAGAAGAATAAGGAAATGATGGATAATATGAAAAAGAATAAGAAAAAGAAAAACAAATAAGTAAAATCTTAGGCATTTGTAACTTAAGTAAAATTAGATGATATCTTTGCCACAATGACAGATCAAGAATATTTGGATACTCAATTTTCAACATTAACAAAGGTAGGAATAATAAATGCAGGGGAAAGTTTTGGTGAAATAGCATTAACTAAATAAGTGCCAAGAACAGCCACAATAGTTGCAGCGGAAGATACCCATTTTGCTACAGTTACAAGGGATTAATTTAATAAGTTATTGTCTGTTTTCTATGAGGCTTAATAAAAACAGAACGTTGGATTTTTAAGCAAAGTTGCTATATTTTCTGAATGGAATGAGCAGATGCTAAATCAATTGTATTATCATTTCAAATTGGAAGAAAGAAAGCTATTCTAAGTGATTTACAAGGAGGAGGAAGAGGCAAAGTATTATTAGTATATTATACACCTTAGTAATGTCTATTTACTGAAATAAGGGGAAATAGAATTGTCACGGTTTGTCGATGTAACTCAATAATAAATGTCTCCAAATCTTACACTTTAAAAGTTCTTTACAAAATCTGAAAGAAAATTAGAAAGAGTTCGAACTACAGTTATTACAGCAGGTTAGATCTTTGGGCATGAAGAAGTAAGTGGAACTATAAAATTAGGTTATGGCTGGAACAAAAAGATAATATAGAGCCATGAGTATAAGCCAGAAAGTTGTTTATTTTGTATTAGATAAATAGAGATTCTTACAGTACTTTTAGAAGGGACAAGCAATTCAAAAACTATAAAAATTTGATGCCAAGAAACTAAATTAAAGAGCATAATCTTTGGGTATCATGAAAGAACTCAAGAAAATTCCTTTATTTGTTGAACATAGAGATGTTCCATTTATAGAACCTCACTAGACTAAGACTAGAGCCAAAAATTCTGTTGAAAGAATAGGAAATCCAGTTGAACATACAGGATATGAAATGCTACAAGGACATGGTCATATAAACAAAGCACATTATAATTTTAGAAGGAATATTGACGTTATTAAATAGAATGTTTAGAATAGCGAACCATTATCATTAGATAAAGCTCTATTTCATATTGAGGCAAGTAAGGGTTCTTAAATAAGCATAATTAATAAAGTAAAAATAGATTAGATTTAGGTTTTTCCTGCCGCTGCTAGACCAAAATATGCGATACCAGAATGCTATATTTCGTCTTAAACTATTATCAAATCTTTGAAGTTACCGAAAATCTTAACAGAGGTTGATTCAGTCATGCTTAATAGAACAAATAAGGAGTACTTGAATAGTTTCAAAGCTTCCTCAATCTATTCAAATGGATTTCCTAATGAATCACAACAGACATTAAATTGATACTCTTTATTCTTTATTTAATAGAGCCAATTTATTGTAATCAATTTCAATTTTCATCTTTATTGATGAATACTTCTCTGTATTGTATTGAATTGATTTTAATTTTAATTATAATTTTTAGAATGGATTATCATCCTTAAAAAGGAGGGTATGGAATACCAATGAGTGGTAATATCCTGTCAGGCTATAAACATTATTACAAAGCTACAAATCACATACGAATGCCCTACGTGGAAGAAACCTATGAATTCAAAGAAGAAGATAAGTAAGACCATGTAGATTTCACAAAAAAGGAGAAATCAGGAATAAAGATATTTGATGACAACACACTGGAATTTGAATGCAAAAAACTCACTATGCAAGACTTAGAAAAATTGGATTTATAGCAGAGCAACATTACTGAACAAGGCATGTCTACAATTTGCTCTTCAAAGAATTGTTGCAATATAACTGAATTGGATTTATCAAAGAATTCCTATAATGTGACAGACACCTTCCTCAGATTGATTGGAGAATCGTAATATTTAGTTAAACTTGAAACCTTATTCCTTGATGACAGTGCTGTATCTGATAATGGAATTATGTTCATAACACAGCCATTCACAAAACCAGTTGATCAATATACTTTGTATGCCACTCACAATTTAAGAAGAACTAAAAAGCATCTGGAATCCACTAGAGGAATGACAGGTTAAAATTTTAATAGTACAGCTGCTATGACTCATACCAGTGACTCTTAAACTCAGTTCTCAGATTCAAATAAATTCAGAAATTTTGTGAACCATCTTAACAAATTATCTCTTTAAGGATTAAATTTAACAGATAGAGGACTCTAATGTATTTCTTTTAGTTAGAATGTGCGTCTTCGATATTTGAATTTGTCATTTACTAAAATAACTGATAAAGGAATCGTTGAATACTTTAATTCTTCCAATAGTGCATTTTTAGAATACTTAGACATCTCTCATTCATCAATTACAGATGAAAGCATCAAAGCGTTTGCATATTCTGAATTTTGCAAATCCTTGATTGTTTTCATAATAAATAGTTGCCCATTGACTAATGAGAGTATGATTCATCTTTGCAATTCTCCTAATACTATTAATATGGTTGAACTCAATATTGGTACGTTCACTAAGTCTTATATGACTGGAGATGCCATTAGAATTTTAAGTGAAGCAAAATATATGAGTGCATTAAAGAATTTGAATTTGGATGGACAACCATTCCCAGAAAGTAATATTGATATTTTAAGTTTAAAGTCACCCTTCTGAAGTTCATCAAGAGTCCTATAATGAATAATATAGAAAAATTGTCGATAGCAAAGAATGAGGACATCACAGATAGTTTTTGTGGAGCTATCTATGAATTTTATCAGGCAGAACAATACAAGTCTTTAAAGTATTTGAATTTAATGAAGACCAATATTACTGAGAGAGGAGTAGTGCAATTATAAGATTTATTTAAATTAGTTCATTCAATTGATAACTTGTCTTCATTGGTAAAAAGTAATTATTATGTTAATCACTAATTCTAGTTAAGGAACAAACAAGAGCAGGGATAAAGTGTTTTATATGTGATCGATGTTTGTAGTAGTAGGATACTGAAAGGGATAATTATAGAGATAAAAAACCGCCAATAAATCCACATAATTGCTTTATTTGCAGAACCAGATAGATCACAACAATAGAGTATCCAGCAAAAGCATGTTATGGATGTGGCAAAGGGTTCCAAGAGAAAACATGTCATTTGTGTTAAAAACAAACAGGAAAGCATCAATTATTCAGATGTCATCTTTGTGCTATTGGCAATAACAAATTCAAATGCTTTAATTGTGATAGAATGATTTTGGCCAAAAGATGATAACTCTATAATTATTTTACTTATTATTATTTAATATGTAATAAGACGCAATAAATAATGAGGAATTTGTGTTAATGATATGTATTAATGTATATATACATCACATCTTGACTTCTTTTAATCCGTCTAAAATGTAAACAAAAGCTGGAGAGGCTTAACCTTCCTTGTAATAACCAAGAACGATGTGATTTTCCATGTCATATGACTCAGGACAGTAGCTAAACCATAAATTGCATATATTACAATTAGAGATCGTTGAAGTTAGCAGAAACCCATTTGATGAATTCACCAGCACCCTTTTAGAATGAAGCAACTCTATTTGGTTTGTTGGCTTCTAAGTATGCCTTGACCTTCTTGGCATAGGCCTTGAAGTATGTGACATAATCAGCTTTGGTAAATTGTGTTTCAGCGTATTTAAAAGCATCAATAATGTTGTTCACTTTTTAGGCTTAATCATCAACACCTCCATCTTCTTCATCTTCATTCTTGCCACCGAAATGACCACCAGCACCTAAAGTTATTATTTCTTTAAATTACCAACATCAACATTGAGTGCTCCTTTAACAATATCTTATGATTGAACTTCACCAATAACACCTTCGAATTTCTCTTCCATGTTGAAACTGTCTGAAACGATTTCTTCTCCACTGAATGCGTCAACGTAGATCTGAATATGGTTTATGTTTATACCTTCATTTAATTTTTATCTAATAAAAAGATTTAAATTTCTGGTCATCGTAATTTATGGTTTTATATTGTTTTCACAATAATTTAAGCATCTCACATTAGTTAATAAATATATAATAATCTTAATGCAATTTCATTACTTCTTTTTCCCTATCACCAAATGTGCAACTCCCTTTTTCTTCTACTCTTCCTTCAAAGCTTACATCAAGGGTCCTTCTGATTAAGCCCTCATTTTTTATTTTTGTCTTACTAATTCACTTCGCTTCTTTTTCTCTATTTTATTCTTACTTGGACCATCTCCATGAAATATCCAACACTAATATCTGAATGCTTCTTTAGGTGTCATTAATTTTCCAGAATGATCTCTATAAACCAAATTTATTTCACCATCCTTTTGTTCTTGATCTTTAAAAACTCTCTGATCCTTATTTCTCCCAACATAGTCATACTTCGATGGATTCAATTCACCCCTCTTTCTAAGTAACTCTAAAGTTGCTGTCAACCCATGAGCATGTTACTCTTCTTCGAGAAACTCTATTCCACCCTCATCCTTTTTCGTACCATCATTATCCTTCTCCTATTACTCTTCTTATTGTTCTTCTTTCTCAACAAATATGTCATTTTTTTAAGTCTCTTCCCTTATGCTTTCTAATTCCATTTTAGATTATTATTATCTATTCTAAACAACTAATCTTTCTGTAGGTAATCTAACATTTACAACTGAAGTTGTTCCATTTTTAGTATCTCTAATTGAATATCCTGTGTTAATTCTAAGGTTTATCTCTTCCATTTCCTTGTCTGTCTTAACATTACTGAGAAAATCAGTTGATTATTCAATGACTTTAATTTCTTACACCTCACTTCCTTGAATCTTTACTTAAGGTATCATAAATTCATTTTATTTTTACTTCTACAATTCCTCCTCTTTTTATTTATTTTAATCCATCAGCTCCTTAATGTTATCTTCTTATTTTAGTATTTACTAGTTCATTTTCTATCTTTATTAATTTAAAATGGATCTCTGCAATAATTCATAATCATCTTCTTCCAATAGAGCCTTATCTACCTTTGATATTCGTTCTTCAGCAAATGGATTTGCTTATTATGGTTTTTGAAATTTCTTTTTAATCAATGTGGTTGGGATACTTGGCTTATAGTCACTTGCCACATTATCTATGAAATTCAATGAAATCTGCTAATTTTTGTTTAGTTTGCTTTTTATTGCTTGTAAGTCATTTTATTTTGGTTCTTCTATTATCTTTCCATCAGTAGCAATATAAAAGCCTTCTTTTTCTATTTTAATTTCATCATACTTCTCTAGGATCTCCTTTTTCTCTTCCCCATCATATTTTTAACTATAATGAGCCTTCTTTATTTATTCTTTTAATTTCTCATTTTTTTTAATCTAATCCTAAACTTTGATTTGATCGTTTTCTAGAACATCGTCTACTTCATTTAATTAGTCACCATCCAACAACTATTAATCAGCCAAGCAAAGTATCATTTCTCCACCTACTTATATTTCATCCTCATTTACGTCTACTTTGATTTTATGTGACATTTTAATTTTTATATATTAATGAATTAATATTGTTGTAGATTGTGTGAAGCACAATACTACGATTAATAGTTCTCTATAAATTTAAAGGAAAAATCAAATTTCACCACTCATCAGTATTTTTGATGTTTCCTTCTTTTTCATCTAATGGAACAGCTAATTTAACTTCTGGGACTTTAAAAGTCTCATTCAAATTGATTTTCTCTAATGATTAATGTGATTAGTTTACCATCCTCTGACAATGAATTAAAATTAACAGGGATGACTGATTGTTTCCACTTTTAATATTTAAATTTTAACTCCTCAAATTCTGCACATGCTTTAATTAAATATTTTAATTAATTTTGTGTCACTGCCACTCTCTTCTCCGGTAATTTTACTTGAGGTTTCAGTTCATTACTAGTCCCAGTAAATAATGGGATAGCAACATCTTACTCATCCTCATCAATAATTCTATATGATTGAGCATCGCTGCTACTATTTTAGTCAGACGAACCTTTTTTTCTATCTGAAATCCTCTTCTTTATCAATTTCGTTTTCATTTATTTATGAAAATGAGTTTCCTCGATCATTTAATTTAATTACTGACTCGTAGATAGTTGTTTACCCTCTTCTATTTATTGTATAAATCGAAAGAACTTCATGTAAATGACATCAGACTATATAAATGTGATACTAAACAATTACAATGATGGCTTTAGATGAATTCTTTTAATCGAAAAAACTATGTTGCTTTTTTGGTTTCACTTAATTGTTAATATTTTTGTATTAAATCCCTATATGATAAAGTTATAAAGTTATACTCCTCATTCAAATTCTTATTAGATTTATGAAGATGCTGTATTCTGTAAAGGAGAATATGATGGAAAATCATCCTTATATTGAATGACCAATGCATAAAAAACTTGGTGGCCACGTTCTCAAACAGCAAGTCTGTTATGTCCTTCCTTATGTCCACTATTAATTAATGTTCATAGTAATACATGGAAACAAGACATAGTTGTTGTATATCAACCAAAGACATTTTGAAACGCTGAAAGCATGTTCACATTACAATAGAATCATTCTGATTCCTTTTAAAAAGAATTACTAATCCAGAGAAGTTGGCATCGATAATTTGTGATTGCAGAGATATTGTAAACAAGAATTGAGGATTTCTAAGCAATTCAGGAGAGCATCAGAATCAAAGAGATTTGTTTTGTTAAAGAGAATAACTATAACAATGTTCAGCAAACTTGTGTTATTTAAGAGGGAACACATAGCAGCTTTCATTATATCTGGATAATTCTTTAGTTCTTTAGCCTTCATTTCCAAAAGGATGGCTTTAATTAACACATTATACCCCGGCAATTATTGATATGGAACATTTTGTTTGACTACAACTGAAATATCGATTAAGTCACACCACTCCTTAAGAAAAAAGAAGAAGGCAATGCCTCTTTTGCCAATTCTCTTCTGCCATTCTTCCTAATTGATAATTTCCATCAGTTTATTGATGTTGGCATATATATTTTGGTTGTTTAGTGAGATATTCATAAAAGTGTCTATTCCAATCAAATAAGTCATTAAATTCCTTATTGGTGATTTCATCAGTTTGCTTAGTAAGCGATCTCCATTCTGGAATTTATGGATCATCTGCTCTTTAAACACTCTGAATTATTTTGGTTCGGAATTCAGGGATTTTAAAATAGGCACTTGCAAAAAAGTGTTCAACAAATGCCCTTTCATTTTCAGCCAAAAATTTCTGTTTCAATTTCTGCAACACAATACCAAGACATTTATATAAAAAAGATTGATAATTGAGACCAATCTCTGTCTTGAATTTAAGCAGCTTTTCACTAGTTTTTTCTGTCTCCTCAGAGAATCCCACTTGATTTAAACTTAGTTCCCCTCTATTTAAAATTAACTTAATGAGAACGTAATACTATTCCCTAATTGTTTCCTCTTGTTAATCTGCAGATTCTAAAAGTTTGGAGGCTATTTCAATTAATAATTTTTGAGCGTTGAACAGATCCTATTGAGATTTATATTCAAAACAGATGATCGACTGTTTATCACTCTATTTTAATATAGTTTAGATAGTATTCAATTGGACAGTTTGATGGTTCTTTAATTCTGATTTAAGAAATAACTAAATTAATAGGATACTATTACATTGTTTGATGAACAATTTTGTATCTTGTATTAAATATCTAATAATTGCTGCCCTGACTGACTTAATTATTGGATTTCCTTCACTGGCATCTTTCCTGAATTTACAACACTGCTCCCTTATTATATCCCTTTGTCAGTTCTCACACCTACAATTTATTGATTTAAATAGGTTGGAATAATGACTTAGAGATTACAATTCAAACTGCCTTCCAACACTCCATGATTCCATAATCTCCTATTCGTTTGTTGATACAAAATCTTATACACTTTTAAATTATTCTCACAAATCTACAGGGATAAATTGACAACATACTTGATCACTATTTAATGCTTGAGTAAATATTTGATTAAGATTGAAATATGTTTCGGCTATAAGAGTATGTTGGGTTTTGTTCATTCCTGATGTCACATTGTTGGCTTATTCATTGTACCACAAACACACTTAAATGCTAGAGGAGGATATTTCTATGAGGGGCACTTCGACGGTCATTTCAACTCCAGATTATTTGTACACAATTTATTTGATAACTTATTATTTGGCTTAAGCACTATTATTTGTGGATTATTAATTCTTTTGATAGGCTGGATTCAAGAATGCATCTGAGTATTCGCTTTAAAAACACAAGACTGAAGTGACCATTTTAAGTGAATAATAATATTCTGAATGTATTAGTGGTTCGTTCATATTAAATTCCATCAACTACGGCACAATGCTTACTTTAATGATTTATGCAATTTTAAAATCAAAGCTTATTTTACCCTATTATGATTTCTTATTAATTAAACCAGTATATTCGTAATCCATGTGCTGTGGCCCAGTTGCTATTAAAAACAAATTAATTTAAATCGAAGCTATATTCTCATTATTCGGTGTCAACAATGTCACAATCAGATGCTACTTCTTCAATTGTTCTTCTGTTGTAGACATTTAAAATGCATGAGTCTGTTTAAACTACATTATAGCATTTAATCACTTTTTACATATAATTTTCCGTAAAGTTCTTTCGAGCATTCTGTTTCAAATTAGTCATATTCACCTATTTTCATTGATATTTTGCCAGCTGGCTATAATACTATGATCACTAGATTAAAAATACCAGATTGTCCATCTTTACCTTAATGCCCGATATTTTCACATTAAAGTCCAATGTACCTTAAGTTAGAATAGGTATCGATTCAATATCTGTCACTAGATTCTCTCTTTACTAAGACTTTCCTGCACAAATACCCATATAATTATTAATATGTATCTAATATAATATATTTAATATTAATCATAAGTTCAATTTATTGTACAAAGTTAAGAAATTTAACCATTTACCTTGAATTCTCCTTTTTCTAGAATTCCCTTTCCTCTTTTAGTTCTTTCTATAAATTTAAAATAATTATTAATTCTTTGTTTTTAGATCATTATATTAATTTTGGCTTAGCATTTATTATTCATTTTGTATCAATTAAATTGATTCTCATTTTATCCAAAAAAAATTGAATATCCTAATTCAAATTATTAGTATTTTCATAGATTAAATAGATGGAAGTCGAACTTAATCACTTCTAATACTTTTTAATAAGACTCTTAATTTTATCAGCATTTATTTTGCAATTATATAAGTTCTACTTTTCTTTAATTTTTGCTTTTTTATTATTAAATTATTGTTGAAAAATAAGGATACTTTGGATTACATTTACTTATAATTATTAAAAATGGTTATTCAAAATAGTAATCATCAAACTTTAACTTTCAATCCTATCTAATTTTCAAGATTAGTTATAAATAACAATTTAGGTTATAAATATTTCAGCCCTTTAGTGATTACATAAAACTTGAATGAAATTTGTATGATAGTAAGATAAGATTATTGATTAAGTATTACAAATAGTAGTTCTATAAAGTATTAAAGATATATAATTATTTCATAAATCCTCGTTTATCATTTCTTCTTCCAACCATTATCTATCTATCATTCCTTCACTATCAATCTTAGGTCTCAGAGGATATGAGGTGGAGGGTCTTCTCTTTCTAGATTTACTCTTTCGATTATTCTATTGAATCAACTATGCGAGCAAGGCATCAACATAGTCTCCTTTCAGCGGAGATTTAGGAGTTTGGATCATGGATTGGGACCAACGAAGAGTACTCTTTTTTGTGCTTTCTATATTTCTAAATTTACTTGTACTTGTAGACTGATCCTTTTTTTTTGGACTTTTTGTTTTTCCAGGAGATATTTTTTTAGAGTGACTCTATTTTTATGCATTTGGTTTGTTTTCTTTTCCAGGCTTTCTTTTATTTGGACTAGCAGGGTCATCCTCTTCAGTGATTGTTTCTAATTGAGGTTTTTTGCCCATCAAGGCATGATATAGAGATTTCTCTGTCACCACATAATTGTTCATGCAAGATACCCAGACCATTTGTTCTCCTGGATATACCAAGCATTGAAGCATGAATCGCTTCCTTGTTGAATCCAATTAAAGTAAAACCTCTTGGGTTTGAATTTTGAGAGCAACAACATCATTCAACTAAAATTAAACAATCACTTCCTCTTTGTTCGAAAAACTTGTAAATTCTAAATCTATTAATGTACAGAAGTTGAGTTGAATCTCCTCAGGCTCTGGGTACATAATTCTTAGATCCTTTGAAGCTCCTTCCACTCTAACTAAAATACTCATATACGTTAAAAATTAATTATTAATAATAAAAAAATGCATATTTCTAAAAATGTTTTTATTATTTGAATTAATATTAATCATAAATTTAATAATACTATCAATAATTACATTTCAAATCTTCCAAGAATTATCTACCCAAACTTGTAACAAAAAACATGGTTTAAATCACAATTAGGTTGCACACAATAACAATTAATGTATAGTTGTTAGGTGATAAAATAGAGCGTAATCATTTTGATTTCCATCATTTGAATTGTGACCCAAAATATTGTAGTAGTTTTAAGATAGATCTATCATTTTTATGATAAATTAAATATATACAGTAGTTTGAACATTTATATGGTTATCTAAATTTGTTTAATAAATAAATTAAAAATACGATTCATTTAAAAAAATGTGCAAATAAGATCTGCCTATTAAAAGAGTTAAAGAGCGTTCTATCAAGGAGGCTAAGCAGAAGGTCGATTAATGGAGAAGCCTATATAAAAATGGAGAGATTGATGCGAATGGCAAGAAAATTAAGTACAGCTTAAATAAAGCTGCCGAGAAGGTAGGAGTTCCAAAAAAATCCTTAGAGGATTATCGTTATCTATTAAGGTAGTCATATTCATTCAATATTTAGGAAAGCCTAAGGTTTAGTTGATTTCAATAATGTTGGAGACAAGAGGATGGGGTTTTTGCGTCTCTTGCTTAAACAGTAAGAATACATAAAAAAGAGAATGGCACCGGCTCACTAAAAAATCTTTATTGATGAAAGATCTCAGATGCATGAACCATAGCATCAAAACAATTTTGTAGATATGATTGTAGAAGGAGATACAGTCAAGTAAATTAGGGATAATGAGTATTTGGATTATTCATATGTCCTACCGCATGTTTAATCCACCATTGAGGAACATGAAGGAATTCATGAAAAGCAGATGAATATCACTAATACAGATTATGAATGTTAAAATGGACAACTAGTTTTAAATTGAATAATTATTATGAATGTCCATTAAAACATGAATAATAAGTTATATTTTTCTCTCATTTTCAGTTCAAATTATTACTTATTTTTAATTGAGTTTGTTAGATGCAAATTTATTATTGAACTAACAAGAAAGAAAATAAAGAATCCTGTTGGCAGCTTGGTGGTTTTTAATCATTTTATAGAGTGATTTTTTAGATTCTGGTATTGATAATGAAAATAAAGTCTAAATAAATAAAATTTGAGAGTTACAAAAGCAGAATTATTTATTTATTTATTTAATATAATTTGAAGACGTAACAAGAAAAAATAATTTTCTTGGATTGGAAAGCAAGAGATGTTTTATTTAAATGGGTTATATTTTTCACCAAAATTCTGTTAAATTTTTACAGAATTTTCATATTAAGGTTAGGTTATTTTATTAAAAAATTATATATAATTATAAAGTTATTTAATATATAATTATTAAATAATAGTTAATTTATCAATAAGATTAAACAGAACCTTAAATTAATGAATCAATAAAGTTTTTTTAAGCATGAGCAAAGAAGATCATTCTTCACTCAAAATGAAACATTTTTTTATTTCGCAAAAAATCATGTCTCTTGGATATTTTATATCTGATCTACTACAAGTCGAAATCATGTTGTAAATTCTCTCAAATGCTAAATAATCTTAAATTAACCATTTGGTTTTTTTAGAATAGCAGCAATCAAAAAGAACTATAAATTCATTTGAAATTATTTAGTCAAAACATAATGTAAAGTTAAGCCTTCTTAAGAAACATATCAATGTGGATACTAACAGCAAAGATTGAATGATTTTATATTCTTATTTTATTATTTATAATAGAGAAAATACATTTTATAATGGGAAATTAATGCTAATGCGCAGAAAGCTAGTAAGACACTGAATAAGTAATCACTTCAGCAAAGAATCCTCAATAAATTTCATTAAATGGTGAACTAAATGATGAACAGATGCAGGCTATGAGTAACTCCAAAAGCAAGTTAACCCAATTCCAAATAAATGAATAACCTTTGCATACTCCTATTGTAACACCAGGAAAGCAATTACCAGGATCATCAAGATATTTTGAGGCCAAAAAGTCTGCAGTTGTTGAGAGCTGTAGCGAAGACAACGTGAACAAACAATCATTTGAAAAGAGTTAACATTAATATGAATTTGAAAATGGAGCCATTTATAAAGGAGAGTGGGTAACAAAATGTTTATTACAATAAGATTGGAGATATAAGAGAAGGGTTTGGAGAATAAATTTGGAAAGATGGGGCAAAATACGTTGGATAGTGGAAAAATAACAAGGCTGAAGGTAAGGGTAAATTTTATCATGTTGATGGAGATATATGTATATATTCAAAATATTGTTAGATGAAGGAGAATGGAAAGATGATAAAGCACATGGAAAGGGGATATATATTCATGTAAATGGAGCATAATATGAGGGAGATTGGTTTGAAGATTAACAACATGGAAATGGAGTGGAAAAATGGACTGATGGTAGTAAGTATGATGGAGAATATAAAAACGGATAAAAAGAGGGGATTGGAAAATATTTGTGGCCAGATGGGAGTAGTTATGAAGGATAATGGTTAAATAATAAAATTAATGGTTTTGGAAAATATAATTGGGCAGATGGAAGAAGTTTTGAGGGTCTATGGCTGGCAAATTAGATGCATGGAAAAGGTAAGTACAAATGGCCAGATGGTAGAGTGTATGAAGGGGATTACATCTATGATAAAAAACATGGGTATGGTACCTATATTTGGAATGATGGAAAGAAGTATGTTGGAAATTGGTTTGAGGGCAAATAGCATGGGAAAGGATAGTTGATTTTTGCAGATGGGTAAATTATTGAAGGAGAATGGCATGAAGGTAAAAGAATTAAATGAAAAATTAAATTCACTATTTTTCACATTATTACACCTGAATCAACTATTCTTACTAATTTTTTTGGTGCTCCATTTGTTGATGAGACTAAACAATAAAAATTAATTATTACTTTTCTCCAACTCGTCTAATATACTGTAATCTTCAACGATCTTTCCGAAAACCGAATGCAATCCATCAACCCATGAGCAATCTGTAAAAGTGAAAAAGAATTAAGATCCTATATTGCCATTTCCATCATTAAACATTGAAATCAGCCCTCTCTAATCATGCTTGAATCGTTTTGGTTCTGCTTTGAAGGTTGGTCCATATATGCTACATTATCCTGTGCCATCCTTATTCAAGATATCTCCACCAAGGGCCATGAAATTGCTATAAACCTTGTGAAAAGGAACGTCTTTAAAATTTAATTTCACATCTTGTCTAGATATCTGATATCATACATGGATTAGATTTTTCTCCTGTACATAATGCTCTAAAGTTTTCACAAGTTTTTGGCATTTCATCATAAAACAGTTTAATAATGACACGTTTCGGTTTTTCAGTTCCAATTTTAATATCCAAAAACACTAATTGAACCTTTACAGCTGTTTGCTTGCTGAAACTGTAAAATAATGAAGAATCAGTAAGCATTATAAATTATTGATAATAATTATTTTTCAATCAAAATTTTCACCCTTTATAAGAAACAAAGAATGGGTTAATTTTCTAGAATAAATATGCGTTGAAGTTTGATAATTAAAATTTTCATTCCTTCTTCACAATAATTTAGGTCATTGTGTCTATGCCAATATCCAAGAGTTATTGTGAAACATCTTGAAGTTATAGTTTTTGAATTGGGCAAATCAAAATGAATCTCATAGGTTGTTGCCTGCTTTCGAAGAAAATGAAATCGTAAAGATCCTATATAATCAAACATGAAATACTTCAACAGTCGCATCATAACTAAAAGTGTATTGTTTATTTTATCCACCAGGCAACTAAAATAGGATAACTAAGCCTTCCTCCAATTACATACTAAATTTCTAACTATGTATCAATAGCATCTTACTTATTCAAGTGTCATTAAGATAATAGATCTATACTCAGCATCGAGTGGATCAATATTAAAATTTGGATAATTTACTGCTGATTTTTAATTCTAAAATTAAACGCCCTATCCTTGAAATTTGGGAGTAGATTACTTCTTCTGTGGTTATTGAACATCTTCAAATTCCTCATCTGTTGATTCCTAAAATATTACCCATAAGTACATATTTCTCTCCTTTGCTTTGTTTTAATGCCTTTTCCATCTCAACTTCATCTGAGCCTCCTATGTTCAATTTATAGTTCTTCTTCTTAACTCTTCTATCGTGAACTTATTTAATGAACTAGGTAGTAAGAACCTTTTACCGATCGTTCTAATCGATATTCTATTAAGGAATGATGAGATTATAAATACATCCAATTATGGAGGGGGATAAACACCCTTTACAACAAAGATTTGATATCCATTCTCCTTTACTGATAGTAGGAATGCTGATAGATAAAAATCACTAATTATTTCTGGTCCTCTTTTATTGGTTGAATTTAGATTGTACCAAACGTTTTCAATCTTTCTTATTGAAAACCAATGAGCTTAAGAATTGCATATAAATCCACTCTCTTGACTTAATTTATATGAAGGGTATCAAATACCTCAAGTCTTAATTTTGGTTGATTTTTGAATCAACGGATTCAATATACAAATCTCCTAACTTTTTTAAAGCCTCAGCTAAAACCTAAATCGAGAAATTCCCATCTTCTGCAACATTCTATGATCTGTAACGATGCCCTGTTTTCCCCAGCAATTCGATTTCCTATCTATCTAATTCTTGAGCAATCGTTGCTAAATCAACCTCATTAAAATAGGGTCCTTATAAAAGAGAGTTGATGCAATGCACACCACATAATTGATCATAGCCCTATTTTTCCCAATATACGAGTTGTTAATAATTCATAAAATAATTAACATTTATTTATACTGCATGATTTTATTAATTGATATCGACAAATATTGATCTAATACGATGATAAATTAGTGGAATATTAAATGAACAATATTTATTACTGTAAATCAACTTTATTCCTTATCTCCTTTTTTTGCTTTTTCTGCTTCCGCAAGAGCCTATGCTTCTGCAGCTGCAGCCGATTTGGCTTCCTCGATTGCCTTGCCGCATAATTATATTCCGATCATAGTATAATCCCCCTCTAATTGATATAACTCTTAATACATTGTGAAATTATATATTCTGATTAAGCTTTAGTTCTGATTCTGATGACTTCCAAATCGTTCTTTTGAGATTAATAAAGTAAATACATCTTGATTCCTCAAATCCCTCTAAATGCACTTTTTAGTCACATTCCATAAATCAGCAACCAAAGCAGACATGTGAACAGCCTTTTCATAAGAGATGTTCTTTTCTGATCTTTTCAATGGAATACCTAAAATATATGGTTTCTGTTTAAATTACAATCCTAATTGAATATGACATAACCATTAGCTCCTTCAACGGCTGACAATCCCCTCAAAACTTCATCAACGTTGATATCGTTTATTGGTTACTATTCGAATAAGATGAGAAGTTACCATTTCGGAAAATAATAATTTATAATTAATAATAATAAAGTTCACATAGTTCTAAAAACATCGCATTATAGTAACTAAAAATAAAAGCAATAAATGATTACCTCTTTGGCAGTTGATCGATGATGAGGATCCAAAACAAAGACCTGTCTCAGAAACTCTCTCACATCCTTATCCTAACTATTAATGGTATACTCATTATTCCTGATTTTAAAGAAGAGTTCTTTTTCAGTTGAACCCTTAAATGGGAAGCTGCCTTACAATAAACCAACAAAAAGGACTCCCAAGGCCCATATATCAGTTGTCCTCCCATCATACTTCTGCTTTGTGACTACTTCAGGTGACATATAGCTTGGAGTACCACAATGACAAGTAATGCTATTGCATATAGTACTAAACCCGAAATCTATGAGTTTAATTCTTTTATTGGTTATCAGGATATTCTCAAGCTTGATGTCTCTATGACATATATTCTTCTCGTGGATGTATACTAGGATCTTCAATAGTTGATGAATGATATTGAATGCATAATCCTTGGATAAGGCTCTATGTTATTTCACCAAATTGAAGAGACTCTCGTTTCCACAGTACTCCAATACTAAATTTATTGTGCTTCCACAATGATACACATCTAATAATTTAACAATCTGCTCATGATTAAGTGCTTTCAATGCACTGATTTCTTTGACAAGATTATTGAGTCTCTCGCCTTTTAAGAATAACTTTTCATATACTTTTATTGCTACTTTCAACCCTTACTTGTTAGTTCCAAGTCTTACTGTAGCATAGCTCCCCTTACCTATTGATTATCCAATCGAGTAAATACTCCCATCACAAGTGGGAGGAATCAATTTTAACAAATTATCATTCACTAAATTTTCAATAGTATTAACATAGGTTCTTAGCCTGATTTTGTGTAGTCCCTCCACTTTTGTAGTCAAAGGTTCCCTTGAACTTATGTGTTAATCCATTTGTAATGGCTACAATAGCTTTGGTGTTGTCTTCCTAAACAGTTTGCGATTCTGTATTGGAGTTTCCGAAGTGTGTTGATTCTCTTTATTATCCAAAGATTTCAGCTTAGGTCTCCGTTATTGCATATGTTCGTTAAAAATTATATATATAGGTTTATTAATTTATTTGGCGCAATCTACTCCTCAAATGGCTTCTATTCCTCCATCATCATTCGAAAATCCTCTGAAATTACAGGCTTCTCCTACCTAATTCGCCAATGCAATCAGTCAGATTTCTGTCTAACTAGCCTTATATTAATAATAAATTAATGTCAAAAGAACAAAATAAATTTAAGCACATTCTCCTTGTCCCCAACATTGTCTCAGATCAAGCCTTCTTGTAAAGACATAAAACATTCCAAACCTATGTAAAAAAAGCTCACTCAGATCTCTACTATTTGTAACTGAAGAAGATTGGAGGGTTGAGAAAATCCATTGCAGAAAAGGCTGATTATGGCTAAGTCTTACAACAGATTAAAAGTAACAGACTACAGAATGAGTATTTGAATCAACAGAAGAAGAATCAAGGGTTTATGTACAATAATTAACTATGGTCAGATAAATACTATAATCAAATCTATCAGATGACTAGATTGTCTCAACTCTCAGAAGTTCTCAGTAAACAAAAAACTAAAGGCAGAGATTAATTAATCAAAGATTTTGAAGTCTACTTCAATAAACATGTTCATCCAATCAATGATGAATTTACTGAAATCTAAAAGGTTCTTCCTCTTTCAAATTGTACTACCAAGTGCAGTTCAAGAATCAACTCCTAAAAGTTCCTACTACCTACAGAAAGACGATTAAATTCCAAATAAGAAACCCAAGAGGATGATATCATTAGAGTCAAATCTCTACAGACCTCCTTCCACAAATCAGTTAATGACAAAATAGTTAATCTTTTAGATGAAGCCAGCAATTTACACATCCAGAATCTGGAAACCATCAAGTAAGCATCATCAAGATATTTAAATAGAAAAACCAGGGTATTCTAAACCGAATAGAGCTCCTCTCGAAAAATCATCTATTCTCAAATCTAAAGAAGAAATGAACGCATGAACATTCAAACTTCGATGAGAAATAGATAAATTCATTTTAAAAATAAATTTGTATAAGAAAGATTTTAGAAGGAAATAGAAAAATTATCTGCTTAGAACCTTTGAGATTTATATTATAATCATATTTTGATTAATCCTGATCCCTATATTATTGTGATTTGTCTGTAGATAGGTTCCTTGTATTATTCAAATGATAGCTGCCTCGTTAACGACTCAGGCTGATCATCCATTCTCTTGCATTCAGATTTGTATAAATGAAATGCTGATTCCTTTTTTATTTGGATATCCTTCGATTCTTGAAACCAATTCAACCTCCTCAACAACAACTTATTCACTCTCTTTATTAACTTTTTGATCCTCGCTATTACACTCGACAATGGACAGAAGGGAAAATTTCTTTTGATTGTTGATTTTCTTACTAATATGATTAAGTAAAGGCTTTAAATAATCTAAGGTCCTTTAGGAATCTCCATAATCAGAGAACCAGTTAATCTCTTTAACAAGTCAAGAACCTATGATTAGATAGAAGCACTTACTTACGAAATTGTATTCTCACTTAATTTAGACTCCATCAATGAACACAAAAGCTTCTAGAACTCCAAGTCAATCTAACTCGCTTTTCGATTCATACTTTAGTTCTCCACATCCAAATCAGTTATTTAATCCTTATGTGAATCCCCCCTTAAATTAGTTAAATGTTCCGTGCTATCTATCATCATTTCCATTTCAATAGCAATGTCCCTCTTAGCTTGCATAATAATATAAATATTATTTAATCAACTTAGATTAGAAGCTATTAGAACTTCCTTAACAATAAATAAGTAATTATCTATATTTAAAAATATATACAAACTTATTCGTGTGTAATTAATCCGTAAATTCTCAGTAAATTTAAACTCCTCTGAAAAATAAGATATTCTAATACTATTCATGGGTAATTGTAATCAATATTCAGATAATATCTTCTCAAAAGTTATCTCTAAATTAACAATCAAAAAAAGTGAATTTACATTAATTTTTATTTTAACAATTAATTGAGAAGTTCATAAATAATTCGTAAACAAGTTAAAATAAGCATATCTCTTCTTAAATAATATGCTGTTCGTATATAGATATATTTGGATAAAATATTAGTTCAAATAAATGTTATTAAAAAGTTTTCTATAAAATTTATTTTAACTATGTTTACTAAAATAATCTATGAGTCAGAATTATTATATTTCTAATTTGTTCATGGATGATTGAGGTGTTTCTCTTTCATTTCTAAAAGAAAATAATTCGAGTAATTTTATTTCATTTTGATATTATAATTTTAATATACAATTTATCACCTTTTTAATTATATCTAGATAATATCAATTTCGTAGAGATTCTTGAAATCCGAAAGTTATTCTAAGTGGGTTAATCCCCTTTCTTCCAATGGTTTTTTATCTTCAATTTTTTTAAAAGTTTATTTATTTATAACAACATAAGATATTGAAATTGTTAAATACAGAAAATGGGTCAAATTCAATGGGCGATAATGTTTTAACTAAGGTTTGGCTATCGATCCTTAAGATGTTAGCTTCTTGAATTCCAAAGGTATGTTTTCTTCAATTTTTTAAAGATGCATGTCTATGAGCATTAATTATTCAATCAGATATTTTATTATGACTTTTTTGATAGAATATATAAAATTCTATTTTGAATATAATTTTCTATTTAAACAGCATTAGAATTCAATATCATAATTTCTTTTTATTATATTTCATATTTATCCCCCTATTTCATCCCCAATTTTTTCTAATGACTTTTTTAAAATGATATTCTGAATCACATTCCATCTTTTTAATTTACCCAATTGTATTTCTGAATCCATCCCCAATAACATCTCTTATTTTATATCATGTTTATTCAGTTATATCACCTAAATTAATTATAAAATAGTTTATGATATATTTGATGAAATACATATGATAAAATAGGGGATGAAATAAAATGTGATGAAATAGTAATGAAAGAAAGGTGATAAACTAGGGGAAAATGCGAAATTAATTACAAATAAAATAGGTGATGAAAAATTTGAAGAATGTCTATTCTATCTTTTGAGGATATTCACTATGGGGGATACTTAAAATGCATTAAGAATTTTAATGAAACTTTGGCTATCAATCCATAATATGTGTAAACTTTACATGGCATAGATATAATGGAATCATTTCTTAAAGGTCGAATCCTATTTACAATAGATTATTTTATCAATACAGGATACGGATTAATTTGAATAGGCAATAAAATACTATGACACAGTTTTCAGTATTAATCCTCAATTTTAAAATTCTTTATATCAATCAAAGGGGTGTTTAAATCAATTTTTTCAAGGTCAATATGCTTATTCCATATGGATCAATATGAATAGGCTATTGCAATATATCGTTACAAGGTTGATGGCCATCAGTCGTTAAAATTTTGATGTCTAACATTTCTCAAAAGTACAATGCTTAGTAATTTTTGATCAAGATCAAGAGAAAATTAAATGCTGTGATATTGCACAGCCTTAACATGCTCTTGTCAT